TACAACATTGATTCCCTTATTTATAAGTAAACAAAGGGATTAGATTACATAACCATCTTAACTATTCAGACATTAGTTAAGAGAAGTTTAAATATAACTAAACAATACCTAGCAATTGATTCAATCTAAAACTGAAAATAACAAAATTTGATAAGAACTAGAAAACTTCAAGTTGCACAACGCAAGCTACATCGAACTTTTGTCACTGCAGCAAACTTTTCTATTGTAGCAGCAATGGGTTCTCTAATATGAATTTAGAGAACTTCTTCACGCTTGCCACAACATTCTTTTCCACCGTTATGACAAACATTCCTTATACCAAAATAGGTTCATCTTTTGAACACTCCTCCTTGAACCATTTTGGTAGCAACTTCAATGTATGTTTTAAAGTGGCATGTTCACAGCCTTCATAAAGCTTACTCCTCCTCTCGAGTAAACATAAAACAACCAAACACTTTTACATGCTTTAAGTGTTGGTTTCTAGTTCTCCAAATTTTCTTCCGGAGTCTTGAAAGCATGTTTTCTATCTCTTACTCCACCCACAAATGCTTTGGCCAAAGACTTCCTCCACATTCATTGATCCCTTGGAACACTCAAGCTTGTAATATTCAAGCCATCATATTCCTTATTGAATACGCATCTAACTTCATACATGATTAATTCATGACCAGCAAACACTACACACTAGATATAAACAATCTAGTGATAACATACTGAAAAACCACGAGCATCCATGCACAAGAAATAACCGCATCTCAGGTCTAAGGATAAAGTGACACTAATGCACATAACAATGATCATTGACTGAAGATATTATACTCATGTGATCAATCGTCCATCGATCACAATTGATGCTTCATTCTCTAATAAATCACCTCATCACTCGTGCCCTTGTGATATGAGTCTCATCTCCCAAGCATCAACATCTCATGCTAATCAATGGCGGCACATAGTAATACTGATCTTGTGTTAATATTGCCCATGATTGTTATCACATCCAATCAAGAACATACTTAAAAGCAAGTCACACCGAAAGAATGCTAATACTCATATTCTCAAACTCTTTGAAAATAGAATTCTTTCCAGAACAAGGTCAGAGACATACGCAACTTAATTAAATATAGATGACACAAAGTAGCGTAGAATAATCATCATTTTATTAATGATGAAACATTTCAAAGTTTATATATAAATGTTTCCCTAAACCTTACATCTATCATTGGTTTTAGGACACATACACTAACAGGTTTCATCTCCAAATTTCAATTGGAATCATATCTCATAACATCTAACAACTTCAAGTTGATTAAAGCATGTTCTTCTTCAACAAATAAACCCGAACACTTTACATGCTTGAGTGTCGGCTTCTTCTCCCTCTAAACTTCTTGTTTGAGTCAAAAGCATGTTCATCATCATCAAATAATCCAACACTTTACATGCTTGAGTGTTGGTTTTCTTCATACTTAAAATTTCTGTTGGAGTCTAAAGTATTTTTTGTTTTCATCAACAAATTGAACCAAACACTTTTACATGCTTGAGTGTTGGTTTCTTTTCACCCCAAACTTCTCGTTAGGGTTGTATTTATAAAAAGCATGTTGTCAACATCACATTGCAATTCAACACCTTTCATGCTTAGGTGTTGGTTACTTATTAAGGCCAAGAATAATACCTCTTCAGTTTCAACAACACTAGCCTATAGTTGTTGTTTATAGAGTTGTTATTGCTTTTGTTGTCTCTGCAACCGATAACAAAACTTCTCTTTATGACATGTTATGTTGTAGAATTTGCACTTTAGGGTGATGGAGTCTTCCCCTTAAACCAGCATTCGACCTCTGAATGGTTATCCTTCCAGCAATTGCTATAGGAGAATTGATTTTTATCCTTCATCTTTGAGTTTGCATAACTTGGATTGATCCTCTCAAACTCACCAAGACTTTCTCTACAATTCTTTCTTCAGAAAGATCTTCTCCCAAGATCCTTATTTTGTTCACAAGCTTTGTCAATTGATCTGAATACATCAATACACATTATGTCTCTTCATTTTTCATAGTTTCACGCTGCCTCTTCAAAGTAATAATCTTCATGTTCTATGTTTTCTCAGATCCTCTAGCTTCTTCTTGCAACTTTTCCCATATTTCCTTGGCGATAGTGCAGGCCACAATCTTCACAAAGATTGGATCTAATATGGCCAAATGCAAGTAAGATAAGGCCCTTGATCTTTTCCTGCTTTCTGCTTTATACAAATATAGTTGGGCAACTATTGGATCCTTTAACTCTTTGGGAAATTCTCTTTCTATCTCATTGACATCCCACAAATCTACAGCTTGTAAAAAACCTTTCATTTTCACTACCCAAATATGGTAGTGAATTCCTGTAAAATATGAAACTGGTGGCAATGAAGAACTTGACAAAGCCATTACATAATTCTAGCTTTCTTCTAACCTTTCTTTCTCTCTAGTGTGTCCTCACAAATCTAAATAACAAAGACTTCCATAGATCTTCACTCTGATACAATTATTGGAAATTGGAGGAGTGAAAATTAAAATCTAGACTTGAAAAAAACGAATGCTTGTGAACTGAAGAAATGAAACTTTTATTTTAACATAAACTTCATATAAACTCCACATTACATACAACGTTAATTCCCTTATTTATAAGTGAACAAAGGGATTAGATTACATAACTATTTTAACTATTCAGACATTAGTTAACAGAAGTTTAAATATAATTGAACAATAACTAGAAATTGATTCAATCTAAAACTAAAAATAACATAATTTGATAAGAACTAAAAAACAACTGATTGCACAATGCACGTTGCAGCAAACTTTTCTTTCACTGTGGCGAACTTCTGTCGCTGTGGCAAACTTTTCTGTTGCTGCAGCGATGGGTTCTTTGATCTGAATTCATAGAACTTCTTCACGCTCGCCACGACATCCTTTTCCACCACCGCGGCGAGCATTCCTTCTACCAAAATGTGGTTCATCTTTTTAACAATAACATATATATGAACTAATCCCTATACAATCGCCAACATAGTTACATATATCTTCCTTCCATCTTTGAGATTGTTACATTATTTACTAAACAAATTCAAACTTATTTTCATGAACTTTAGACTATTCAAAAATAATAATATTTTCATTTTAAGATTCGTAGCAACATTAGTAGTTTTATATAAATGCTAGCTGTTAGAGTTGATGAACTCTAGATAGCATTTAGGTACCCATTTTTAAAGATGTAGCGGAATGATTTACCAAGTTGTGTTAACACAGTTAGGTTTACAACAAATCAATAATAATAACAAGTTGTAAATGTAAAGCACACCAACATATACATGGTTCGGCTAAATCCACTTTTAGCTTACATCTATGAGACCTTGTCCAGATCGAAGCAAATCCACTAATCAACAAACATTGCAAGATATAGTTCAAAGTTTATTTTAGCTACAGCAAAACGTACTTCCTATTCTAGTTACACTAAACACCACCCTTTGAATCTCTAATGTCTTGTTGCTCCAAGGACTTTTTCACACTAGGAACACACTCGAAGAACACTTGAGCTCCACCCAAGCTTCACACGCCAAAGCCACACTCCAGCATCAACGATGGAACCAAGTTCCAGCAACCATTCAATCAAGTATAAGAGATGGTGACAGTTTAGCACATAAACATAAGTTGAACTTTAGAGGAAAGACTCTCTGAAAATTTCAGAGTACAAGTAAAATAAAATATCAAAGGTTAGTTCACAAATGAGCAAGAATGAAGATGATATAGACCAATTTCATGCTCCCCAATTCTTGCCAAGTTAGCAAACAAGGATTGACATATGTTGGTCCAAAAATGGAAAAGATTCCGTCTATCTTTTGGGAACACAACCAAAAAGGGAAAAAATGTGATTTTCCCTAGACCACTAAAGGATATTGGGACATCTGTAAGTGGTCCAAATGACAGCACAAAAGATGCAAAGAAAATATCTTAGCTGTTAAGTAAAAAACACAACTTGTGAAAAACGAGTCAGACATGCGATGTTAGCACAGAAGAAAAGTGTGTGCACACACGATGTAAAATGCGAAATGAAATGCAATATATATATGTCTGACATAAGTGTGCAAGCACACATCCATTGTGCACACACATAAAATGAAAATGTAAAAGGCATGAGTCTAACATAGTTGAACACATGGAGGACAAAAAGAATTCTTAATTTTTATTGGACCATAAATATATCTTCTCTTTCTTACAGGACCACAGACAAAACCTTACAACCTTTTAGGACCACATAACGAAATTATGATACTTGTAAAGTTAGTTCTCACATGAATATCATGAATCAAAATAAACTTGTGGGCAAGACAACAAAGAAAAAAACGCCACATGACAAAATGTGTCAGACAGTAGATGCTTGCATAGAAAAGCAATGTGTGCACATATTTGCTCAGCAATTCATTGTTCACCATAATATAAATTTGAAAAAAATATCAACACTAGCTACAAATATGCCATGCTTTCTTTATAATTAACAAGTAAATTGAGCTATTATGGAAAGAATTGTCCTCACTGACTACGACTTCAGCCTTCAGGAGGGATTGGAGAGTCGAGTATGATGGCTTTGTTTAGAGTAGTGCTCTAATTATCCATGGACCAAACGTAGTCCCATTTTGTAAGTTATTTTGTTTCTTTTTTGACTTTGGGAGTGTCGGGTCCACTTAACAGCTTTTTCATGGAATATTATATGGTTAAGTCCCAATCAAGTGATATGCTATGTCTCAAGTTATTGATTTGATCGAAATCCATATAACTCAATGGTTTTATAAACTTAAAAAATACTATAAATACAAAATAACACGTAAACTAATCTCTACAAACTAGTGTCATCTTTGATGATAAATTTTTCATTTTCAACAAAGAAAATAAATGAAAGTAGTTTGAAAACCTAAGTAATTCTCAACTTTGTGCCTTTACGATTGTATTTATGCACTTATGCCCCCACAACTATTTCTATCTTCCTTCCATCTTTGAGATTGTTACATTATTTACTGAACAAATTTCAAACCTATTTTTAGGAACTTCAGGCTCTTCAAAAATAATATTATTAATGAAAAACGCTGGTTGCTTTGGTGTAGGTAGAACCATAGTCTCGTTTGTAAGCATGCAAACAACCTCTGACATTGTTGGCCTATCCTTTGCCTGGTCTTGCACGCACAAGAGACCCACATTCAGGTATCTCGACACTTCATTGGGAGGGCAAGATCCATCCATTGTTTGGTCAATCAATTCTAAACCTTTACGTTCATTCCACAGCTGCCATGCCTGAATAAAAGAGTTAAGGTTAGATTAATTGTAGATTGATCAATGCTATCCCAAAGTTTGAAGGACCTTCACAAGATGAAATGTATAATAACTGAATACTTACATATCCAACAAGGTTGAGTGGACGCTCTGTATCATAGCAACCGTTGTTCTTCTTGCCACTCACAATTTCTAATACCATGACTCCAAAACTATATACATCAGTTTTCATTGAGACAACACCATTAAAAACGTACTCTGGAGACATGTAGCCACTGAAAAATAATTTAACATCATACATTAATTTTATTGAAAGACAATGTAGTTTGTTGTAAATGTGTATATATTACATATACTTACTGCGTTCCAACAATTCTGTTTGTGTTTGCTTCTAACTCATTCACCCCAAAAGCTCTTGCCATTCCAAAATCTGATATTTTTGGATTCATTTGGTCATCTAGTAATATGTTGCTGGCTTTTAAGTCTCTATGAATCACTTTTAATCTTGAATATTTATGGAGATAAATAAGTCCTTGAGCAATTCCTTCAATTACACTTAAACTTTTCTTCAAATTCAAAATGTTCTTCCTACTAGAATCTGTCTCAAATTAAGAAACAAACAGATAGTAATGAGTAGTTGATAGATGACAGATTTAAGAGTTAAAATCTATAATTGCAAGTTTGAAGAGACATACCAAATATGAAGAAATCCAAGCTTTTGTTAGGCAAGTACTCATAGACTAAAATTCTTTCTCCTCCATGAAGAGAACATCCTAGAAGTCTTACAAGATTAGTGTGCTGAAGTTTGGCAATGAGTTTAGCTTCATTCTTAAACTCCACTATTCCTTGTCCTGAAGTTTTTGAGAGTTTCTTTATCGCTATTTCCTGCCCATCTGGTAATTTGCCCTGAAATCATGGCATTTTTGGCCATTAATGATGATATATTGATGACTGTACACCTAATTAATAAAAGTGATGGTTACAACTTTACCTTATAAACTGGACCAAAACCACCCTGTCCAAGCTTATTTGTTGTTGAGAAATTGTTTGTTGCAGCAGCAATGATTTGGAAATCAAATATCTTCATATCCTGTTTCTGATCTTTATCTTGGGCTTTTCGTTTTCCAAATTTGATCGGAAGTGACACCGAGATGTTATCTCCAAGTTCATGTAATAGTTTCCATCGATTCCATATGCTTTCCACTAGTTAAGATCATACACATGAAATTTATAATCCAGATATCTTTAATGATTTATCAAATTTGTAATATTTGTTCCAAATTACCTTTAGCCTTGAGTTTTTTTCCAATCAAATAGCTATAGTAGCATAACAGAGGTATAACTAGAACTACTCCCAGTGAGTGCCACCACTTCTCTGCAACAAGGAAAGCAAATTTTGTTCTCATTAAACACTGACAGCCATTATAAATCTGTTTTGGATAGAGTTGAGATTAAACTAATCAAGATAAAGTTTTAGTCTACTCTTTGTGCTTAAACAACTTAAAATTGACTAATTATCAAGAGCATTAATGAGCTTTTTTGTTTTTTTAGTTACAGGTATTTGATGACAGTTAATCTTGTATTTGCATCTTCAATAAATTTCATGAAAAGTGAAATTTGAATAAAATGTCAAAACTTCAGAAATGCTATATTTGGGCAGATTGCACACCTGAAGCCTTGTATTTTCTCCTTAATAGATAGCATAAGAAACACAAAAGGGGCACCACTAGAGCTACTCCTCCTCCAATGATTAGGTTTTTCCTCCTCGGATTCTTTTCTGCATTGGACCCTTAAAAAAAAACAAAAACCAAAAAAAACAAAACAAAATTCTATATAAATTTTGTAAAACAATATGTTGGAAATCCTTCAGGTCCTCTTTCAAGATGCAAAGCACCCCAGAGAAATGAAAAGGATCCCTTCAAAACTGAACCAAAAGCTAAAAGCGTTTGTTTCTTTTCCAAAATCTAATTTCAATATTGAAGCAGACTTACTTTTGGGTATAACAACTTCCATATATATTTGGCGAGAATCGTGACTGGAAGACTCTATGAATTTTGTCTCTCTACTCCAGATCTCGCAGCCAGTATCATTAATTTTATTTGTACTGGCAAAGGCAACACAAGAACAATTCTTCATGCATTTGGCTTTGCAATGAGCAATGGTCATGTTGAACTTGAATCCTTTTCCAGACATACAACCAGTTCTTATATCGAAATAACTAAGTTTTGCCCTACAGTCAGGGTAGTCGTCCTGGCTATTTGCAACAGACGATTCTTGGTCATTTATGAGAGCACCGGTGGAACTAATTTGCAGTATTGGAAATGAAGTCACATCTTCATTTACAGAATAACTGAAGTATTTTTCTTGTTCATTTGTAGTGTAACTGAAGGAGTAGTCTCTCTTAGAATCGAAGAAGCTGCTGACGTTCCCATTTTGCCAAAGCCCACTCCTCCACCAAGCGTCACCGTCCCACCATATGATTAACTGGTTTGTGACATTGGGGTCCATGCCAAGTGTAAATGACCCTTGGGCAGGAGAGCCATCCGCAGTCCATGACCGCAGAAACCATTTATGCCCAGTTTGCATGTTGATTCCTAGTTTCATGCCTGGAAGAAGTGTATCAGTTGGATAGTCAAAGCTTGGCTACAATTCTAGCTTAGATCCATTTGAATACATTTCATAGAGCACAAAATTGCCATTTTTCTCCAGAGTAGCACTTGTATTACCCGCTGCTTGAATTGAACTTATAACAATAGGATTTCCCTTACCGTGTAAAATTTTCAAATTGCCATCAGCGCGGTCTATTATAAGTTTTCCAGATTTGTCTGAGATTGGGGTATTCCTGTTGGCAACCCACACTGGTCGAGTCCTGTTCTTTACCGCAGACTTCATATCTAAGAAGTAATTGTAACAAGAAGAATACTCTTCAAATGGGCAACTCCTATCTTTAGGTTTATAGTACCAAATTCCTAAATAACGGTTTCTCGTACCCTCAGGGCTAAAGAATCCCAGCCTGAAGTTCCCAAAAGCAGAAACCAGCTGATCCCCATCTTTGAGCACTTGGCCTTGAAGCAACCTGTCTGTCTGGGAATAAGACACCCCGAACAGAAGTATGAGGCATGAAAAGCTGATGAGGATTTCGTTCCTTCCTTCTCTAGCCATCAATAGAATTATGTACCTGCAGAAATGAGTCCTGCTTTTTGTACAAGCTCAGGCAACGAATTTTAGTGAAAGAACAATAAAAATCAAGTCTATTAAGTTCAAGAGTTTTTAGTTGATTTTCTTTGAAGGTTCATACTGGCAAATTTGGAGTTCTATAACTTTTCAATATTTTGAAATTTAAACTGCCCACAATTTTGTTAATTGTTTAGTTCTTAATCAAAAGAAATAATCTTTTGACGATCTTCTCAAGATACATTCATTTATTTATTTTTAATTGAAGCCTATATGCATTGACTATTGACTTTATGAGTGTTTGTTCTTTCACGGAAACTTCGGTAACTAATTAATAATTGAAACCATCTTTCATACTTTGTCTGTCTGGGAGTACGAAGATGTCTCTTCTCAGTTCACGCAATTGACAAATCATCTCAGTAGCTTTCATGAGAGCTAATTAATATGTTTCTTCTCGGTGTGGTGCTTTAATTTTCAAGGAAACTTCCAATGAAAATTATGCTAAAACTTGTTCTTATATAATTTCCGAATGATCATGCATATATCAACTTTTTATTTTGTTTAATTCTAAAGGTCAGAAGTTGGACACAGTCATTCAGTAAAAAAAATTAATGTGCCACGGTCATTAGCACTGGATGCAGAATTGTCATTACTTCTAAGATTTAATATTCGGTTGCTACTCATTTCAATCAGAGACCCGGTTTATAATTTACTGTTCCCGATATTGATTTTTTTTCCGAATCCATCTTTTAGAAATTTGATGATACGGACATCTTTTAGATTTTTTTTTTTTAAAACAAATGAATCTCTTGATAACATATGTTTGAAATCATCAAATCACTGAAATCAGCTTGATCAAGTTCGAACCCACAAATGCTCATTTAATGGAATTAAAATCCTAGACGGCTGAGCCCACAAATGCTCATCTTATCGTCTCATCAAATAGCAAAGGGAGGCGATGTATTTATTTTGCTTCATTCTCCGAATTGGTTAAATTATCCAAAAAAAAAAATCTTCAGAATTAATATTTAGCTTTTATTCCACATCTGTACTCCTACTACAATGCTCAATGTCAGCCACCGTTTCTTCTCTTGAATTAACACACAGTTCATCTTCTCGTCCTAGCAAACATTGTTTTGCCATTGAATATTGACCATAGTCCATGAAGATTATATTATGAATCTTGTTGGACTTAAGTGATATTTACTCGGGGTTAGAAATCGATGTTTCTTTTGGTTTTGTACCTCAAACATGGGGAATCAAACCATTTGATGAATCTCCCGTGATTGCTTCTTCAATTCTAAACTCATCTATGAAAGGAAACACAAAAAAAAAAACAGAGCAGAAAGTGCAGAGTATCGAAGAGGAAGAAAAGTGTGAATGTACTGTTTTCGTTATTAAAGAGTAAAGTTGAGAGTACAACTTTATATTAAGCTGCTGCACAAACTGATTTCACGGTAATCAGTTTTACAAGAAACGGCAGCGTATCAGGCAATGCAAATGTCTATTTTTGTCTTTTCACTTTTATAGTCAACATGCTCCCTCAAACGTGACTGTATACAATTTTATGATACTCCAACATCTTTTCTTATATGCTTCAGCAAATTTCTAGCAAATTTCTTCCATCCTTCTTGTACTTCAATATGCTCCCTGAAACATAACTGCAGAAAAAAAAATTCAGCTTCTTCCATCCTTCTTGTACTTCAATATGCTCCCTCAACCATTATTCCAGAAAAACTTCAGCACTGTAAAGATCAAGCAGAAAAACTTCAGCACTGTAAAGCTCAAGCAGAAAAACTTCAGCACTGTAAAACTCTTAACACTTCAAAGGATTTACAGCAGAATAACACTATACAGCAACTCAGCATAACACTTCTTCAGCAGCACATTACTGCATAGAACCTCAACCAACGCAGAACTTCATAGAACACTAAAAAAAATTCAACCAGCACATACAAGCTGAACTAACACAGCAAGCATTCCATCACTAAATTGCATAACACTTCAGTACTTTCACAAACACTCCATAAAGCACCCAGCACATAAAAGCTGCAGCAATCACAGAATCTACACAACCTTTCAACTAACACAACAAGCATTCCATCACTAAACTGCATAACACTTCAGTACTTTCACAAACACTCCATAAAGCAACCAGCACATACAAACTGCAGCAATCACAGAATCAGTACAGCAAGTACTCCATCAAGAACTTCAACTAGTACAGAACAACATAATACTAAAATTGCTTCTTAGCTGCTATCTTCACCAAGTATGGAGACGTTCAGCTTCTTCCTTAAAACAGTGAATTGACTCACTGATAAAGCCTTTGTAAGAACATCAGCTATTTGTAATTTGGAAGGAACATATTGAATGGCCACCTTTTTGGCTAAAACTTGCTCCCGAATATAATGAGCATCAATTTCAATATGTTTAGTCCTGGCATGAAACACAGGATTAGATGCAAGGGCTCCAGCACTAACATTATCGCACCAAATAACTGGAATAGTATGAAAAACCAAGCCTAATTCAGTAAACAAGCTCTCCAACCAAGCTACCTCTGTTGCCGTATGGACTAGAGCTATATATCCAGCTTCAGTGGAGGAAAGAGCAACAACTTTCTATTTTCTAGAACTCCATTGAATCAAATTTGGTCCTTGATAAACACAATAACCACTGGTTGATCTCCGATCTTCAAGATATCCACCCCAATCGGCATCAACATAGCATTCAACATGTAATGCTTTTGCTGGTTTAAAAACTAACCCATAGTGGATAGTACCTTTAACATACCGTAACACCCTCTTGCAAGCTTGCCAGTGAAGTTCAGTGGGAGCTTGTAAAAACTTACTCAACTTATTCACAGTGAAGCTTAGATCAGGTCTTGTAAGAGTCAAATATTGTAATGCACCAATCGTACTCCTGTATAAACTAGGATTCTGAAATAGTTCACTATCGATTGAGCTCAATTTTATCCCAACATTCATGGGAGTAGAACAAGCATGGGCTTCCATCATCTTGGTTTTAATAAGAAGATCAGCAGCATATTTGGACTGCTTCAGGTGCAGACCAGCAGATGTCCTAGTTGCTTCTAAACTGAGAAAGTATTTGAGTGATCCAAGAGTCTTCAAAGCAAAATCCTTGTTGAGATCTTTCATCAACTGATTGATAAACATTACATCTGAACCAGTGATTAGTATGTCGTCAACATACACAATAACATAGATAGAACCGGAACCTTGTTGAAGAGTGAAGTGACTTGAGTCTGAAACAGAGTTTTGGAACCCTTTTGCTAAAGAGCAGATTTCAACTTTTCAAACCATGCTCTAGGAGCCTGCTTTATGCCATATAAGGCCTTATTTAACTTACAAACAGCCTTTGGAAAAGATTGATCTTCAAAGCCTGAAGGTTGCTGCATAAAAACATTTTCTGTTAGTACCCCATTTAAAAATGCATTGTTAACGTCAATCTGTTGGATATCCCAATCATTTGTAACTACAATGGTAAGAATGATTTTATAGTTGACGGTTTGATCACTGGACTAAATGTCTCAAAGTAATCCAATCCAGGAGTTTGTTGAAAACCTTTGGCAACCAATCTAGCTTTGTACTTCTGAAGAGAACCATCAGCATTGAACTTTGTGCGAAACACCCATTTATTTCCAACAACATTCATATCTGGAGAGAAGGGTACAAGAGTCCAAGTATTGTTCTGCATAAGAGCATCAAATTCACTTTGCATAGCAGCCTTCCAATTTTTACTACTAAGTGCATCAGAAACTGACTTGGGTTCTGGTTCAGGAACTTCAGGCCCACCAACTAAGTAAGCTAGATGAGTGTCATCTGGATTGGAAGAAACCAACTGATACTGATTACTAAATATACCAGAAACTGACTGAAAAATCTATTTAGCAGCTTTACACTCAGTAGTTACATCAGAAACTGACTTAATTTTCTGTTTAGTAGTTGAACACCTAGCAAGAACATCAGACACTGCTTTGGATTCTGTTTCAGTAACTTCAGAACCACCAGCTAAGTAAGTAAGATGAATATCATCTGAAGTGGGAGTTACCAGTTGTAATCCAGCAGTTGATTTAGCTCTTGTAATCATAGGATGTATGTTTGTAGATGTCACAGCAGCATGAGAAATGGCAGAAGAATTATCCAGGGCATCTGTACTAACTGAGGGTTGATCATGTGAACTGTTAAGACTCAAGCCACTTGCTATATCAGGGAACTGAGAGGCAGTAAGATCAACTACAAGCTGACAAGGTGACTTAGATAAGGTATCAGTGTTTATAGGCTGATTTGGACACAGTGAGATTGATGAGTAGTTGTGTGTAGAGGCAGTATTTAGAGTGGCAGTTAGAGAAGGACTACTGGGAGAAAAATTACTGGTAGGAGAAAAACTCCTGATTGGATTATCTGAAGATTGCATATGAGTTTTAGGATAAGAAGAGGTAGCTGTTGTGTCAGGGAAGTGAGAAGGTGTGAGATCAACTATAAGGTGACAAGGTTGTGAAGATGAGACTGTAGTGTGTGCTGTAGTATTTGGATTAGTGGTATGGGGAGGATGTTGTTGAGTGGTTTCAGTGGATACCATAATGTGAGGGGAAAAATTCTTACCAGTTGTTGCATGAGCTGTGCAGGACTTGTCCATGGAGCAAGGGACCGCAGGTAAAGATGTGCCAGCTGATGGTTGAAAAGAATTGGTAGTAACTACAGGAGGAAAAACTGAAACTGTCGTGGTTTGAGTGTCAAGGGTGGAGGACTGAGTTTGAGATGAAGAACTTGAATTAGTGAGGGCAAAGGGAAACTCAAACTCATTAAAACGAACATTAGGAGTAATTACAACCTGTCCATCAGATTTTAAACACTTATACCCTTTGTGAATTAAACTATAACCTACAAAAGTACACTTAACCGTATGAAAATCAAACTTGTGCTTGTTATAGCTCCTAAGGTAAGGAAAACATGAACATCCAAAAA